CGATGGTCGGTGGCATACCCCGGTCATGAGAGCGGAGATTGCGACCCTGCTGGCGAAGGTGCAATCGAGACGGTCCCTCCAGCCGAGATGAAGGTCGGGTTTTACAGGCCCCTACTTCATTGTCCCCAAAAAGACCGGTGGGTTACGACCGATCCTGGACCTGTGCATTTTGAACCGTTCTCTCCATCGACTAACCGTTCAAATGCTCACAGCCAAACGCATTCTCGAATGCGTTCGGTTTCAGGATTGGTTTGCAGCGATCGACCTGAAGGACCTGTACTTATGTCTAATTTTGCCTCGACACAGACCGTTTCTTCGGTTTGCTTTCGAGGCCAGGCATATCAAGTACACGGTTCTCCCATTCGGGTTAGCTCTGTCCCCTCGCGTCTTCACGAAGATCGTCGAGGCAGCCCTTGTTCCCCTTCGTGAGCACGGGGTTGCATCCTGAACTATCTCGACGACTGGCTGATACTGGCACACTCTCGAGCTCAGGTTTGCGAACACAGAGACCTGGTGCTCCGGCACCTAGCCCGTCTGGGCCTTCGGGTCAACCGGGAAAAGAGCAAACTTTGCCCGTGCAGAGGATCTCTTTTCTCGGCATGGAGATAGACTCGGTCGCCATGTCCGCGCAGCTCACGAGCGAGCGCGCGCACTCACTGCTGACTTGTCTTCGACAGTTCGAGGGCAAGAGTGCGGTTCCACTGAAACTATTTTCAGAGGCTCCTGGGGCATATGGCATCCATATGGCTTCATATGAGACCGCTTCAGCTGTGGCTTCGCGATCGAGTCCCGAGGTGGGCATGGCATCGCGGTTCGCTCCGAGTTCCAGTGACTCCAGCGTGCCGCCGAACCTTCTTACCGTGGTCGAACCTCAGCTTCTTACGGACCGGCGTCCCTATCCAGCGAGTTTCCAGGCATCTCGTTGTCTCCACGGATGCATCTACCACGGGTTGGGGTGCCATGTGCAATGGGCATGCAGCCGCCGGTTCCTGGACAGGAGCCCAGCGCCTCATGCACATCAATTGCCTCGAGCTGCTGCAGTACGGCTCGCCCTGCACCGCTTCAGAGCGTTGCTGTCGGGCCAGCACGTGCTTGTCGTTCAGACAACACTACGGCAGTAGCGTACATCAACCACCAGGGGGGTCTACGCTCGCGCCGGTTGTCGCAGCTCGCCCGCCACCTCTTGATATGGAGTCAGAAGCACCTGAGGTCCCTTCGTGCAGTATACATTCCTGGAGACCGGAACCTGGCAGCCGACGAGCTGTCACGGGTCCGTCCCATCTCCGGCGAATGGCGACTCCATCCCCAGTCGGTCCAGCTGATTTGGGACCAGTTCGGGGAGGCACAGATAGATCTGTTCGCCTCTCGGGACTCGTCACTGCGCCCAGTTTTATTCCCTGACCTGGGTACGCTCGGCTCAGATGCGCTGGCGCACAGCTGGCCACGGGGCCCACGCAAGTATGCGTTTCCCCCAGTGAGCCTCCTTGCACGGGTGTTGTGCAAGATCAAGGAGGACGAGGAGCAGGTCTTGCTGGTAGCCCCCTACTGGCCCACCAAGACGTGGTTCTCCGAACTCATGCTCCTCGCGACAGCACCTCCTTGGCCTATTCCTCTGAGACAGGACCTACTCTCTCAGAGACGGGGCACTCTGTGGCCCCCGTCCCGATCTTTGGAGGCTGCACGTGTGGCTCCTGGACGGGACGAGGCAGGTTTGAGTTCGCTGCCACCTGCGGTGGCGGCAACCATCACTTCCGCAAGAGCGTCGTCCACGAGACACCTTTATGCGTTGAAGTGGAACCTCTTCGTCAATTGGTGTTCTTCTCGCAGAGAAGACCCCCGGAGGTGTTCGATCGAGGTCGTGCTTTCCTTCCTGCAAGAAGGGTTGGAGCGCAGTCTGTCGCCCTTCACCCTTAAGGTTTACGTCGCGGCCATTGCCGCTTCTCATGAAGCAGTGGAAGGTAAGTCCTTAGGGAAGCACGACCTGGTCATCAGGTTCCTGAGGGGAGCGAGGAGGCTGCATCCGCCTCGTCCTCCCCTCGTACCCTCTTGGGACCTCTCGGTAGTTTTAAGTGCTCTGCAGAGGCATCCCTTTGAGCCTTTGCAATCAGTAGAGTTACAGTTTCTGTCCATGAAGACAGCACTCCTGGTTGCATTGGCCTCCATCAAGAGGGTGGGGGACCTACACGCATTCTCCGTTGACAAAGCGTGCCTGGAGTTCGGGCCGGCTTACTCTCACGTGATCCTGAGACCCCGGCCTGGATATGTGCCCAAGGTTCCCACCACTCCCTTCCGGGACCAGGTGGTGAACCTGCAAGCGCTGCCCCTGGAGGAGGCAGACCCAGCCTTGGCACTGCTCTGTCCGGTACGTGCTCTCCGCACCTATGTCGACAGAACGCAGTGTTTCAGGACCTCAGACCAGCTCTTTGTCTGTTATGGAGGGAGCCAGAAGGGAAGGGCTCTCTCAAAGCAACGGCTGTCCCACTGGATAGTGGACGCCATTGCTTTGTCTTACCAGCAGCAAGGCCATCCGTGCCCCCTTGGTGTGACGGCCCATTCCACTCAGAGTGTGGCCTCCTCTTGGGCTTTAGCGCACGGCGCCTCGCTAACAGACATCTGCAGAGCTGCAGGCTGGGCGACACCCAACACCTTCGCCAGATTCTATAATCTGCGAATTGAGCCGGTATCCTCTCACGTTCTCGTTTCGGCCAGTTCTGGACCTGCTCAGATGTCTTCGCTTGCTCGCCACTCCACTCCCCGGACTGGATAATTGCGATATTTCCTCAGTTCTTCCATTGAAGTCTTGAGTCCTCCAGCACCGACGATGCGGGCACCACTGCTGTTGCTCTGGATGCTGTCTAGGTGCCTCCATGCGTACGGTTCCCCCATGGTAACCGTCTCATGTGTATTATCCACTGTAAGCCTCTCTGAGCATGTGTCTTCCCTTGGCAAGCCATCTGCCACCCCTGGACCTGAAATCTTAGCAGCCACCTGCGGTTGGCGCTCCAGTGTCTCCATATGCGTTCCTTCGTGGCCATATGAGTATTCTTAAGTCCTCCCTTCGGTAGGCATCTGGTAACATGTCCCTCCCGGGATATGTTTCCCAGTGTACCTTGGTAATCCTGTGTCAAAGTAGAATCCATAAAAAAAAAAAAAAAAGAGAGGAGGGGTCCAGACTTTCGCAGGGCACTGGAAGACAGCTTGAAGATGGCGTGATGGCACAGACCCCCAATCTCCGTCACTTCTGACGTAACTCGAAGTGACTACGAAAGGGAACGTCTCGGTTACGTATGTAACCCTCGTTCCCTGAGTAGGGAACGGAGACGTTACGTCTCCCTGCCACTTCTGCTGTATCGCTGGGTAGACGCCGAGTTCAGTCTTGGCTCCTCAGCGAAGACATACTGCGGTTGCGTTCACTTCCTCCTTTTATACTCACGGAGTAGGGCGGAGTACGCTATGCAAATTTCCGCAGTCCCAAGGCATTGCATGCCATTGGCTCGTTTTTAAATACTCGAAGAGGATTGGCTTTCTATGCGAAACCCCCAATCTCCGTCACTTCTGACGTAACGTCTCCGTTCCCTACTCAGGGAACGAGGGTTACATACGTAACCGAGACGTTTTCCTTTACTAAAACCTTCAATGATTTGTTTTCCAATTTAGCTGTGAAAGACACAAATACGGAAGAACAGAAGAAAGATACAGGTAGGTTATGACATCTCAGTCATATATGCATTCACTGTACAGTTTTTGTACAGCTTGTGGTTTGTTCCATCCTGTCCCTTATTCTCTCCTGCTTTGCTCCACTCTCTGACTGATTAAAGATGAATAACGGCAAACAAACAAATAAAATAACAGTGCTGCCCAATCCTGTTCCTGAAGATCTGCCTTCCTGCAAAGTTCATCTCTACCCCTGATCAAATAACGCTTCATGAACACTTGATCAGCTGAACTCTGCAGGAACAGGAATAGGCTCTCCTGATCGAAAATATCTCATTGTGCTTCAGAGCTAATAGTTGAAATGTTTCAATTTTGCAGAATGACAATGTATAAATACAGTCCATTCTTAAACATTTTGATTTAATAAGGTAAAATGAGGTGGTTACACACAGTGCATACATAGAAACCCCAAATCATCACATGTGATGAAAATCAGTTTATGACTGTAGAATTCACAACCTCAGCAAACACTGATACAGCACTTTCCATAATTAAGAACATCATCATTTTATACGAACCTGATCTGAAAGTCTTGAAACACTGACACAACTTTAGTAATTCCTGGATGAACAGTAGGAGCAGTGTGATGTTTTATGAGGCTATATAAGCTGGAGTTTAATGGTGACCTCACGAATTAACTTTGACCCTGGGCATAAGAAGCGGAACTGACAGCAATTCAAGTTAATATGTATAATAATAGCCACAAGGGACCAGAAACATTTTGTTTAGCCATATATTTCAAAATATATTTTGTGTTGAGCAGAAGAAAGTAACAACTTGAGGGTGAGTAAATGATGACAGAAATTCTGGGTGAACTGTCCCTTTAAAAAACATTGCTTTATGCTGTAATAGTGTAATTGAAGTTACAGACAGATATGTGTGTGTGGATTATGAGAATCTGTTTCTTCATGCTGGAGAGTTTGATATTAGTGGTACACTCGTGACAGGTGAACTCAACTCTTTAGAGAAACACAAGCCCCAGTCCTAACTGTAGGTGTTTACTTCTCTTCTTGTTTACAGCTTTGGCTATATAGAATAGTTTCAAAAGGGTTTAAAATGGTATGTGTCAATGCCATGTCTGATTGTACCAGTAGGTGAACAAGACTCATCAAACCAAGAAGAGAAACCCACAGGATTGAGTCCTGACCAGACTAGTCCTTCAGCAGGTGTGCATGTTTCTCATATAAAAATACTGCTGTAGTATGATTCTGTATATTTGTGATAGAACACAAAAGGGTGGTATTGCTATTAAACACTTTTTTTTAACCTAGGAGAAAAAACATTCTTAAAAATATGTTATTTCTGTACATTAACACTAATACACCATATTCACTAGATTGCATTTAGAGTAAAACTAATAACAGTTTCTTCTAGATTATTTTTTATCCCACAACTATCATTTATTTATACATTTTAACTAGAATATTAAGACTTTCATTTTGCTCTGAAATATATGAAATATATGATTCATCTTGGGTTTTTTTTTTCATGCATGCTTGTATCATAATTACTTTTGTAAACATAAGACACTGAGACCTAGAAGAAATCACTCACATGAAAGTATGACTGGTGTTGTTTCCAGATGAGGGCAGTTCTTCATCGTGTGCTGGGGCTGCTGCTCCACATGTCCATTCACAGCCATCAGAGAGTGAGTACACGTCCTCCGAGACCCTGCGCAAATACATCTGGTTAAAATAATTAAATTAATTAATATTTTTTTGATGCAGGTATTTTATCCTTATTTAATGTTTTTATTTCAGGGAAGAAAACCATTAAAAAAAGTAATTAAACTAAATCTATGTCATTTTTATGATCAAAACCACATATGAATCAGCTTAACAGTTGCATTTATTGTGGTTTACAAATTCTAGAGTATTTGTGGAAACAATTCATAAATAAATCTTCCAAATGAATATTTCTCTCATTATTAGTTTGTGAAGATGAAACTATGGAGAGTCTGACAAAAGGTATCTGAAGAAGAGTAATTATTGCAATATCAGCAATAATATCTGAAGCTATTCACTAAGCTGCAAATAAATGCTCATGTGCAGTTTATCTTGTACCAGAACACATTTCCAGCAAACACTAATACTGAAGAAATGTTCTCTCATTTTAGTTCGTGATAATGAATCTATGGAGAGAGAGACAAAAGAAGGTATCTGAAGAGGTGTAATCACTGCAATATCTGCAATAATATCTGAAGCTATAAACAGTAATAAATGCTCCTGAATATGTTGTAACAGGAATCTTGAACCAGAACACATTTCCAGCAAATAAAGCTGGAGTTCCCTTTCGTAGTCACTTTGAGTTACGTCAGAAGTGACGGAGATTGGGGGTTTCGCATAGAAAGCCAATCCTCTTCGAGTATTTAAAAACGAGCCAATGGCATGCAATGCCTTGGGGCTGCGGAAATTTGCATAGCGTACTCCACCCTACTCCGTGAGTATAAAAGGAGGAAGTGAACGCAACCGCAGTATGTTTTCGCTGAGGAGCCAAGAGAACCTCTTTACTCCTGAAAGCCATTCTCACTGTTCAAGACTCTTTGAGACCAGCGTCCTCTTCAGTGTTGGTGTGACGGCGGTACCCAGCGAGATTCTGCATCGCCTGCGATCTGAGCAGTGGTCTGCCAGACTTTGCACTTCTCCCTGGTAGCCTCAGCGCTGAAAGAGTGAATTTCCTCCTCTCATTGAAAGAGCTGCACGCGGCACGTCTTTTTAAAGATGGTTCGCCCGTGCTCTTCTGGGTGTGGTAGATTTCTGTCGTCATCTGATGGTCACGAGCGCTGCTTTGTATGCCTGGGCATTCAGCATGCAGCAGCAGCGTTCGTGGATGACTCATGTTCTTTCTGTGGGAACATGACCATCTCTTCACTGAGGTCGAGGCTCAATGATCTCACTAGAGTGAGAGCCCCGGTCCCCCCTACTCAATCGGCTTCCTTCACGGAAGGGGGCCCGTCGACCCGGTGGTTTTAAGGTGACGGTGTGGGATAAAGCCCCGACGATTCCTCGGGCCACACCTCCCGCCTCAGTGAGAGAGCCAGCGAGCGTTAGCTCGATTCAGTCGGCTGCCTCTTCGGCGGCGCCGGCTGCTTCGGGCAGCGCTCCAGATGATAATGTAATGTCTATCACAGCATCACTAGGCGGGCTAGAGTCCTTGGGAGATGAGGATGCGGCTGCGTTGCCTCCTTCGGGGGTGCCAGCGTTGTCCGCATCGGATCCCGAGCTGACGGCCATGCTGTCTCGAGCCGCTGGGAGTATCGGGCTAGAATGGAAACCTCCGTCCTGCCCCGATCTTTCACGGATGGATAATTGGTATTTGGACAAAGCTGCCGCCGCAAGGCCACGGCCAACTCCAATACCTTTTTTCCCCGAGCTGCATGCGGAGTTATCGCGCTCTTGGGGGGCTCCCCTGTCCACTCGAGAGCGCGATCTCTCCCCTGCCTTTCCCTCCCTCGATGGTGGGGCCGCCCGTGGGTACACTGGGATGCCCCCGGTGGAGCGCTCTGTCGTGATGCAGCTGTGTCCGCAGAGCGCCTCCTCCCGTGGTCCTCCTAAGCACCCATCCAAAGCCTGTGGGTTCTCGTCTGACCCGAAGTTCCAGTGACTCCAGCGTGCCGCCGAACCTTCTTCCCGTGGTCGAACCTCAGCTTCTTACGGACCGGCGTCCCTATCCAGCGAGTTTCCAGGCATCTCATTGTCTCCACGGATGCATCTACCACGGGTTGGGGTGCCATGTGCAATGGGCATGCAGCCGCCGGTTCCTGGACAGGAGCCCAGCGCCTCATGCACATCAATTGCCTCGAGCTGCTGGCAGTACGGCTCGCCCTGCACCGCTTCAGAGCATTGCTGTCGGGCCAGCACGTGCTTGTCCGTTCAGACAACACTACGGCAGTAGCATACATCAACCACCAGGGGGGTCTACGCTCGCGCCGGTTGTCGCAGCTCGCCCGCCACCTCTTGATATGGAGTCAGAAGCACCTGAGGTCCCTTCGTGCAGTATACATTCCTGGAGACCGGAACCTGGCAGCCGACGAGCTGTCACGGGTCCGTCCCATCTCCGGCGAATGGCGACTCCATCCCCAGTCGGTCCAGCTGATTTGGGACCAGTTCGAGGAGGCACAGATAGATCTGTTCGCCTCTCGGGACTCGTCCCACTGCGCCCAGTTTTATTCCCTGACCTGGGGTACGCTCGGCTCAGATGCGCTGGCGCACAGCTGGCCACGGGGCCCACGCAAGTATGCGTTTACCCCAGTGAGCCTCCTTGCACGGGTGTTGTGCAAGATCAAGGAGGACGAGGAGCAGGTCTTGCTGGTAGCCCCCTACTGGCCCACCAAGACGTGGTTCTCCGAACTCATGCTCCTCGCGACAGCACCTCCTTGGCCTATTCCTCTGAGACAGGACCTACTCTCTCAGAGATGGGGCACTCTGTGGCACCCCCGTCCCGATCTTTGGAGGCTGCACGTGTGGCTCCTGGACGGGACGAGGCAGGTTTGAGTTCGCTGCCACCTGCGGTGGCGGCAACCATCACTTCCGCAAGAGCGTCGTCCACGAGACACCTTTATGCGTTGAAGTGGAACCTCTTCGTCACTTGGTGTTCTTCTCGCAGAGAAGACCCCCGGAGGTGTTCGATCGAGGTCGTGCTTTCCTTCCTGCAAGAAGGGTTGGAGCGCAGGCTGTCGCCCTCCACCCTTAAGGTTTACGTCGCGGCCATTGCCGCTTCTCATGAAGCAGTGGAAGGTAAGTCCTTAGGGAAGCACGACCTGGTCATCAGGTTCCTGAGGGGAGCGAGGAGGCTGCATCCGCCTCGTCCTCCCCTCATACCCTCTTGGGACCTCTCGGTAGTTTTAAGTGCTCTGCAGAGGCATCCCTTTGAGCCTTTGCAATCAGTAGAGTTAAAGTTTCTGTCCATGAAGACAGCACTCCTGGTTGCATTGGCCTCCATCAAGAGGGTGGGGGACCTGCACGCATTCTCCGTTGACGAAGCGTGCCTGGAGTTCGGGCCGGCTTACTCTCACGTGATCCTGAGACCCCGGCCTGGATATGTGCCCAAGGTTCCCACCACTCCCTTCCGGGACCAGGTGGTGAACCTGCAAGCGCTGCCCCCGGAGGAGGCAGACCCAGCCTTGGCACTGCTCTGTCCGGTACGTGCTCTCCGCACCTATGTCGACAGAACGCAGTGTTTCAGGACCTCAGACCAGCTCTTTGTCTGTTATGGAGGGAGCCAGAAGGGAAGGGCTCTCTCAAAGCAACGGCTGTCCCACTGGATAGTGGACGCCATTGCTTTGTCTTACCAGCAGCAAGGCCGTCCGTGCCCCCTTGGTGTGACGGCCCATTCCACTCGGAGTGTGGCCTCCTCTTGGGCTTTAGCGCACGGCGCCTCGCTAACAGACATCTGCAGAGCTGCAGGCTGGGCGACACCCAACACCTTCGCCAGATTCTATAATCTGCGAATTGAGCCAGTGTCCTCTCACGTTCTCGTTTCGGCCAGTTCTGGACCTGCTCAGGTGTCTTCGCTTGCTCGCCACTCCACTCCCCGGACTGGATAATTGCGATATTTCCTCAGTTCTTCCATTGAAGTCTTGAGTCCTCCAGCACCGACGATGCGGGCACCACTGCTGTTGCTCTGGATGCTGTCTAGGTGCCTCCATGCGTACGGTTCCCCCATGGTAACCGTCTCATGTGTATTATCCACTGTAAGCCTCTCTGAGCATGTGTCTTCCCTTGGCAAGCCATCTGCCACCCCTGGAGCTGAAATCTTAGCAGCCACCTGCGGTTGGCGCTCCAGTGTCTCCATATGCGTTCCTTCGTGGCCATATGAGTATTCTTAAGTCCTCCCTTCGGTAGGCATCTGGTAACATGTCCCTCCCGGGATATGTTTCCCAGTGTACCTTGGTAATCCTGTGTCAAAGAAGAATCCCTAAAAAAAAAAAAAAAAGAGAGGAGGGGTCCAGACTTTTGCAGGGCACTGGAAGACAGCTTGAAGATGGCGTGATGGCACAGACCCCCAGTCTCCGTCACTTCTGACGTAACTCGAAGTGACTATGAAAGGGAACGTCTCGGTTACGTATGTAACCCTTGTTCCCTGAGTAGGGAACGGAGACGTTACGTCTCCCTGCCACTTCTGCTGTATCGCTGGGTAGACGCCGAGTTCAGTCTTGGCTCCTCAGCGAAAACATACTGCGGTTGCGTTCACTTCCTCCTTTTATACTCACGGAGTAGGGCGGAGTACGCTATGCAAATTTCCGCAGCCCCAAGGCATTGCATGCCATTGGCTCGTTTTTAAATACTCGAAGAAGATTGGCTTTCTATGCGAAACCCCCAATCTCCGTCACTTCTGACGTAATGTCTCCGTTCCCTACTCAGGGAACGAGGGTTACATACGTAACCGAGACGTTTTCCTTTACTAAAACCTTCAATGATTTATTTTCCAATTTAGCTGTGAAAGACACAAATACGGAAGAACAGAAGAAAGATACAGGTAGGTTATGACATCTCAGTCATATATGCATTCACTGTACAGTTTTTGTACAGCTTGTGGTTTGTTCCATCCTGTCCCTTATTCTCTCCTGCTTTGCTCCACTCTCTGACTGATTAAAGATGAATAACGGCAAACAAACAAATAAAATAACAGTGCTGCCCAATCCTGTTCCTGAAGATCTGCCTTCCTGCAAAGTTCATCTCTACCCCTGATCAAATAACGCTTCATGAACACTTGATCAGCTGAACTCTGCAGGAACAGGAATAGGCTCTCCTGATCGAAAATATCTCATTGTGCTTCAGAGCTTATAGTTGAAATGTTTCAATTTTGCAGAATGACAATGTATAAATACAGTCCATTCTTAAACATTTTGATTTGATAAGGTAAAATGAGGTGGTTACACACAGTGCATACATAGAAACCCCAAATCATCACATGTGATGAAAATCAGTTTATGACTGTAGAATTCACAACCTCAGCAAACACTGATACAGCACTTTCCATAATTAAGAACATCATCATTTTATACGAACCTGATCTGAAAGTCTTGAAAGACTGACACGACTTTAGTAATTCCTGGATGAACAGTAGGAGCAGTGTGATGTTTTATGAGGCTATATAAGCTGGAGTGTAATGGTGACCTCACGAATTAACTTTGACCCTGGGCATAAGAAGCGGAACTGACAGCAATTCAAGTTAATATGTATAATAATAGCCACAAGGGACCAGAAACATTTTGGTTAGCCATATATTTCAAAATATCTTTTGTGTTGAGCAGAAGAAAGTAACAACTGGAGGGTGAGTAAATGATGACAGCAATTCTGGGTGAACTGTCCCTTTAAAAAACATTGCTTTATGCTGTAATAGTGTAATTGAAGTTACAGACAGATATGTGTGTGTGGATTATGAGAATCTGTTTCTTCATGCTGGAGAGTTTGATATTAGTGGTACACTCGTGACAGGTGAACTCAACTCTTTAGAGAAACACAAGCCCCAGTCCTAACTGTAGGTGTTTACTTCTCTTCTTGTTTACAGCTTTGGCTATATAGAATAGTTTCAAAAGGGTTTAAAATGGTATGTGTCAATGCCATGTCTGATTGTACCAGTAGGTGAACAAGACTCATCAAACCAAGAAGAGAAACCCACAGGATTGAGTCCTGACCAGACTAGTCCTTCAGCAGGTGTGCATGTTTCTCATATAAAAATACTGCTGTAGTATGATTCTGTATATTTGTGATAGAACACAAAAGGGTGGTATTGCTATTAAACACTTTTTTTTTAACCTAGGAGAAAAAACATTCTTAAAAATATGTTATTTCTGTACATTAACACTAATATACCATATTCACTAGATTGCATTTAAAGTAAAACTAATAACAGTTTCTTCTAGATGATTTTTTATCCCACAACTATCATTTATTTATACATTTTAACTAGAATATTAAGACTTTCATTTTGCTCTGAAATATATGAAATATATGATTCATCTTGGGGTTTTTTTTTTTCATGCATGCTTATATCATAATTATTTTTGTAAACATAAGACACTGAGACCTAGTAGAAATCACTCACATTAAAGTATGACTGGTGTTGTTTCCAGATGCGGGCAGTTCTTCATGGTGTGCTGGGGCTGCTGCTCCACATGTCCATTCACAGCCATCAGAGAGTGAGTACACGTCCTCCGAGACCCTGCTGATTGGCCAGAACAGAACCAGTGCACAGATCATGACAGTCGACACCAGACTTCATTGGCCCCATCACACACACGGCACAATGCGGCACCAGGCGCAACACAGGCGTTTTTTGGTAGCTTCAGCCCAACGCACTTATCATTTTTTCGTAGTTTAAATAGCAAATGAATTTGGGCCCATTTGGGCTCATCCCCAAGGCGTCATATACTGACGCTTTTGACATTGTGTCTTCATCCGACGCAATATGAGACGCAGATATATATGGGCCAGAAGGCGCCTCCTAGTGGGCTAACCCTAACCTTACCCATAACCGAAGTGTGTTATATTGACGCTTAAAGGGATACTCTACTTTTTTTTTTAAATAGGCTCATTTTACCACTCCCCCAGAGTTAAACAGTTGGGTTTTACCGTTTTCGATTGTATTCAGCCAATTTTCTGATATTTAGAAGAATATCAGTAACCAGACAGTTTCTGGTCTCATTGACTTCCATAGTAGGAAAAAAATATACTATGGGAGTCAATGAGACCAGAAACGGTCTGGTTACGGATATTCTTCTAAATATCAGAAAATTGGCAAATTGGTAAAACCCAACTGTTTAACTCTGGGGGAGTGGTAAAATGAGCCTATTTTCAAAAAAAGTGGAGTATCCCTTTAAGGGTGCCGTGTGCGTCGGATTTAGACACAATGTCAAAAGCATCACCATATGATGCCCTAGGATGAGAATGCGTTGCATTTGTGCACCCGTCGGCAGCTGGTCTGGAAACGAGGTGTGTGTTCAGGCGCAGTGTTGGAGCAGTGCTGTTTTGAGGCAACTTGAATAGCCTGCGGCACTGACCAACTGAAACCTGTCAAAGTCAATGGCACAGTATTTAGTTTTGTTATTTATAGACCTTATGCACCAGAGAAACGGGCGCCGTCATCTTTAGAATATTGTCTCTGAACTTCCGGTTCTGTATATTTCTATGGCGTCGCTGTCGAGGAGTAATTAGCTGGTGAAGTGGATTTACTTATTGTAGAGTTAACAAAAGTTATCATGAGCATTGTAATGTTAATCATGAGCATTGTAAAGCAGATGTCTTAACAAATGTCGAACGGGATTTTTTTTTACGAGCAGTTCATTCATACCTATGCAAGATCACTGTGGAAATACAGACCGGAAGTCAAAAGACAACGAGCGAAACGCTGAAAAGGGGCGGGGCTACATAAGGTCTATAGAGCGTGTTAGTAATACGCACCCATAGCCGGGTCTACAACGCTCGCACACTTTGGTCTACTTGTGCGTTTCAACCTGATCCGTTTCTTCGCTTGAAAAGCGTTCCGTTTTTCCGCTGGCAAATTACGCCATGTAAATAAGCGAAGGTGTGCACAAGGTTTACATCAAACAAGCTAAAAAACCCAGAAATACAGTTTTTATAAGCTTCCGAACCATAAAAGCCAGCCTTATTTAATTTATTTAACCCAAATTTAACTTGTCAATGTATCTCCTCCTCTCAGGTTCACATAGGGTGGTGAATGGTTAAAATTATGAATGTTTTTATGTATTTTTTCAATATCATATCGTGTTCCAGTGGGCGTAGTTCTCAGAGGAGTTCGAGAACTAGTTGCGCTCGGTCTCAATTGATCCACTTTTATGTCCTAAAACAAACGTTGTTTTTTGGGGTTCACAGCTGATAAAACTGTATTTCTGGGTTTTTTTATCTTGTTTGCTGTCCACCTTGTTACACAGCAGCTTTGAGGTATTTTTTGGTCGTTTGTTGTGTCAAATGACAAGGAGGCAGCCTCTCGCAATGTAAAGTCAATGGGGACGGTTGGGTTGTTTCCTGGATTGGTCTCTGGCTGCTGATTGGCCCAAGAGGAGTCCTGTGCGCCAATGAACGCTATCTATCGATCTGTGCTCGATTGCTCTTCCTTCATCCTCCAACTATGGATGTCTGTCTCAGTAACTTAAACAATTCAGTAAACTGAGTCTGAATTGTGAAGTGAATGTGGAGATGTATAGAGAGTTTACTTTTCGGTGAGGATCAAATTCAATTTCAAATGATTCAATTCAGATTCAGTTTTTCAATCCAAAGATTCAAATTAAACAATACAATTTCAAATTATGTTATTCAAATTCAGTTTTTCAATGCAATTATTCAAGTTTAACAATTCAAATTCAAATATAAATGATTGAAATTCAGTTTCTGGTGTCACATATTTCAGCCCATAATAACCCATTAAAAATACTGCATTTGGATCCTCAACCTTTGTGTCTCAAAGCAGTTTGTGACACACACACACACACACACACAAACTCACACTAAGACACACTAAAAATAAGCTAGAATTTTTGTTTTGTCGATTTTTTTTCTCTAAAGTCTCAAATAATTTTTCACTTTAGGTGTGGGAGACACAAATATAGCAGAACTGAGGAAACATGCAGGTATGATGACATCATCTCAGTTATACATATGCATTTCATCATCTTTAGTCATATATACACATATTTGTAAATATGATCTCACACACGTTGAAGTGTATTAATAATAATTATTTTCTTCACAGTTCAGATCACTATTGATCCTAAACGTTCACATCCAGGTCTGATGGTTTCTCCAGACGGTAAAACAGTGAGAGACGCTCCAGATTATAAACACACTGGAGAGGGATTTCCATATGAATTATGTGCAGTTGGAGCTCAAAGATATAAATCTGGCCGTCGCTATTGGGAGGTAGAGTTGGCATTAGAAGATAAACCTCCTAAAAACTACTGGTTAATTGGTGTGACGAAACATGGAAATTTTCGTATGAAAAACAGATCTGCTGTAACTCCATCAAACCATAGCTGGTTCTTGTGTTCAGACGGTCCTAATGGCTTTTACACCAGCTCTGATCCTAAATGTGATCCATCAGTTTCTCTCTCACTGACGCCGAGACCCGAACGACTGGGAGTTCTGTTAGATTATGGTGAAGGTCAGCTGTCATTTTACAATGTCAAAGAGAGGAAACATGTGCTGACCATGAACATCAGATTCCCTGGAGCAGTCGATCCGCTGTTTAATCCAGGGGTCGGAGATCAGAGTTCACTTATGATTCTGGATTGTCCAGAACCTGTAGAAACACCTGTAGAGTCCAGTGAACCTTTACTGAGGAACAGCTCAGACGCCTGACTGACCAATCCTGTGTGTTCAGGCCGAATGAAGCTCGTGCAGATCCAGACACAGATGCTTCTCCCTCTTTCCCATCGTTACACATCAGAGTCGATCAGAGGACGAACATGAGACGACTGAAGGAAAATGCTATAAAACCCAAATGGGTGGAAATATGGATGAGGAAAGTGTCGGTTCTCAGCAGCATCTCGACTGAAGTCTAAACTTGTATATTATGAATATTGGCTCTTATACGATAAACTCGTTCTTCATTTGTAAGTCACTGATAAAAGCCTCTGATTATGAATGTTAATCCAAATCTTCAGCCTTACAGGAGGAACAAGACTTAAAGGGTCTCAAAATGCTCAAAAATATGATTTACTTTTTACTGTATTTTGATGGAGAAACATGATGTCTAAAATGTTTGATAAAAAATCTAAAGGGGCCTTATGATATTCAACAGATGATTGTTGTACTTTGGGCTCTTACTTTACTTTAATAAAACACTGTAACTAATGTTGAAATGCACATTGATTGACGTTTTTAATAAAAAAAACAATGATCTGAAATGCAAAGTCTGATCCCGTGTTTGATTATATCGTCTCGTTTGGGTTTGCTTTGATAAGTTGTGCCTCAGTCACTCTTTGTCTGGTCTCCGTCTATGTTAGAGGTTGTTTTATTAGCTGTCTTCAGAGTGGATTATTAACTTTTAAACTCTATCATCTTGTTCTTCATTCAACCTTGTGTGACAACAGAGCTGTGATTTATTTTTTATGAGTTCAAGTTTAACTTTATTGTCCATTCTGTTTGAGAGAGAGCGTAAATTTGACACTGGAGATACAGAGATACATCCACATAAATGCTTAAAAACACACACAAACACAGAAGGAAACAAATTAATTATATAAAATTATCATTCCAAAAAAGAAAGAAAAAAATCCATTAAAAACAAAACCCCAGCTATTCTCTTGTAATATATTAGAAAATAGTACAATTAGATAAATCACTGTCATTGGGACAAACAATTTTTTAATATGTTTCTTCTGGCTAAATGAGTTTTGAGTCTACGCCCAGACGGGAGCATTTCTAAAGTAGAATGAAGAGTATGATGTTTGAAATTCACAAATTCAGTTTTTTCACCGATAAAACAATCAAACAAGTCATGAAGTGGGTGTTTGTGTCCACTGTCCAGTGATCTTATTTGCTTATAATTCTTTTAAACTTATAACTTATAAACTTTTTAAACATATAATAGGGCTGGACCAGAATATTCCAATATTCGTTCAGTGGGTTGCTATAGAGCTGGTAAGTCCCGCCCACCCGTAAAACTACAAGTGGACCTCTAGGTTAAAAAAGCGTCAATGCAAGTGAATGAGAGAAAATAATTATTTTATGATCCCGTTTGAATTGTGCCATGAATGTAACATATGTTGTCTGTGATTTTTTTATATAATTTCTCATGTAACGAGTTTGACAGTATATTGTATGATTCTTTGGCTAGCAGTTGTGGAATAGACGTAACGAGAAAGACTACACGTCGCATATGTGACGTCGCCGCATTACACATTTTCCCTCCACAAATCACGGTTTTCACCACCTCAACTAGTTCGTCCTCTCCCTGAAAGAAGGCGGTGAAGTGCACCAAAGACACGGGCATGTTTAGCGGGATCCGTGTGCTAGTGGGGGTGACGTATATCAAACACGTCGGAAGAGTTGTAGTCCACAAAGTCTAACCGTATGAAAATTCTACCCGCTTTACACGAAACATTATATAAAAAAATTCACAGACAACATATGTTACATTCATGGCACAATTCAAGCGGGATTAGAAAATAATTATTTTCTCTTATTCACTTGCATTTACGATTTTTCAACCTAGAGGTCCAGCGGGGCTAGCGGAAGGGGCGGGGCTTAACAGCTCTATGGGGGATTATCACGCTTCCGGGTTTCATGGGCGGGATTTGTCAACTTTGTGCACGTCCACTTCCGACGCAGTTCAACAATGGCTGAGACGAATGCTATTTATGTCACTGCTCTGTTCCACTTTGTAAATCTAACCAACAACACCAACCCTACGTAAGTTTTCATGGATTCACGACTGAATTGAGTATAAGGAAGAAGTGGATTAAAACTTTAAAATAAAACAAGTTAGCGCGTTTGTTTGCAGCCGGCACTTTAATGAATAAGACTAATTTACCAGGAATGCCGTATAAATAAACTTAGTGTAGTCCTTCATCAGTTCGCCAGTGTAGCAGTTTTACTCTGGTTGTGTTTATTTTCTAATCAATGAAGACAACGCCGATTGAAGAGGTCTCAGGATCTTTATTCTGCAGAAATACAGAGCACAATTAATACTCTTTTTTCCGTGGGATACACGTCTCTCCCTCTCAGTTTCATACAGCTCAGAGAAAGCAGCACGCTCGTCAGATGAGCGAGAGAGAGCACACCCGACCCCGTCAGCGGAAAATGTGCTTCTAAATATGGCGCTGATCGCACATCGTTGCGTCACCAATATGTGCCCCATATACAACAGTATTCTGCATAATTGGTTCCCACTAGAACTATGTACATCTTATCGGATTACAACTCACACAAAATACGAAAACAAAAATAGTTAAGTTTTGATGAAGTTCACTAACAATCTTAATTATATTTCACATTTTAAACCAGCTACATACTCCCCGCTGAACTTCACAAAACTAGTTCAATATGGATAAGTAGCTGTTCAAAAAGCTACACACAGAATCAACAATTGACTCTCGACACACTTGAAACAGCAACGTATGCTTCCCAAACCACAGGGAAAGTGACCCAAGCAGGCTGATCAGACCAACAAAGGGAACACTTGTAAATAGGGTGCCCCAAACACCACTACTTAAGCGTCTATGTGACAGTTACTTTCTTTTTCTAAATTGTGAATTACAGCTCTGCCAACTCAGTGGGAGATTTTGAATAGGCTCAAAGGAAACACTCCCATACTACTCATGTGACTGTTCAATCCATTTTATGACAATAAAGACCCTGCAACTCCATTAACTGAACTGGTCATAGTCATTTTTTGGGTCATGTTCTGAATTAATCTGTTCACAGGATTCACAAGCCTGCCAAACCTGGTTCTGACTTGAGTAACCACCTGATTAGGAGGCGAAGCCACAGGATCAGAGGATTGTATATCGTCAAATGAACCTCCCACTGGAGCTGATGTCACTGTATCATGTATCAATCCTCCATTACTTGAACGACTTAGAAACATTATCACATCCGAAAGAATCATCCATAGTTGTTGAAAGCACAGATTGAGCAGAATCAGGATCCACTGCTACTGGAGGGAAACTCTCTCTCTTAGAGGATGTCCTGCCCAAGTCAGCATTTGGAGCCACAGCCCCTGCTACCCAGCTGGCAGTTCGATCAGCGTTGCTGTATTCAGACATGGGTGTTAGAGCATTGCTCAAAGCTACCTCACTGCAATCATCAACTGATTCAGTGCCTCCACTGAATGAGGGTTCAATTTCCTCAAACTCGATAGGCAGAAGGTTTGCTTGGAGGAGCAAGTTTCTATGAACAGTCTTTTCCTGACCAGTGTGGGTGTTGCAGATTCGGTAGGTGTGACATTGAGGATTAAAGGCAACGACTGTATATGGAATGGACTCCCACTTATCTGCCAATTTGTTACGACCACGCTCACCCTTGTTGGCAAGCAATACTTGATTCCCAATTTCAATACTGCGACCTTTAGCCCTCTTGTTGTACAAGTCTGCCTGGCGTCGCTGACTGGCCTCAGCATTCTTCTGAGCAAGTATCAAAGCTTCTTTCAAGTCATTCCTCAATCTCTTCACGTACACATCATAGTCAATGAGGACATCATCCCTCTCCACACTGCTGAACATTACATCCACTGGGAGTCTTGGAATCCTGCCGAACATCAAATAAAAAGGTCCAAATCCAGTAGACTCATGAGCGGTGCAGTTATAAGCAAAGGTCAGCGATTGCAGCATCTGCGGCCAGTGTTGCTTGGCCCTAGGTGGCAGCGCCCTGATCATACCGCCCAGAGTTCTGTTGAATCGTTCAACATGACCGTTACCCATAGGATGATACGCGGTTGTTCTAGACTTCCTCACTCCAGCAACGAGTATCAATTCATGAATAAGTTGGCTGCAGAAATTGGCACCTTGGTCCGAATGGATCCTCTCTGGGAAACCATATACACAGAAGTATCTGTCCCACAATAGCCGTGCAACTTGTTTCGCCGATTGGTCTTTACAAGGGAAAGCATGGGCCATCTTAGTAAAATGATCAGTTAGGACCAGGACATCCATGCTGCGACCACTGGAATTCTCCGCAGACCAAAAGTCTATGCAAACCAATTCCAGGGGGCTTGATGTTTTGATGCTTTCCAGAGGAGCTCTCCCTTCAGGTTCTGGAGTTTTGCTAACCACACATCGTTTGCAACATTTAACATGTTCACGCACATCCCGTTCCAAACTGACCCAAAAGAACCTCTGTCTCGCAAGGGATAAAGTCCTACCCTGACCTTGATGCCCAGCTTCATCATGAATGCCCTCAAGAACCTGCTTCACCAGCGAACTTGGAACAACATACTGTAGCCTCCTTTTTTTCGTCAGGACATCCTTGGACACTCTGTAGAGTATTCCATCAAGCATTTTGAACTTCTCCCACTGTTTAAGTGTCTTTATTACCTTGTGAGTTTCCCCAGTTCTGTCACGTCTAGATGGCTTCCGTCCTCTACTTACATAGAACAAGACCCTTGACAGTGTTGAATCATCCTGCTGCTTCTCCTGTAATTCCCTCAATGAAAAAACAGGCAGAGGATTAAGACCTGGAGACCATAACTGGTGTGTATCTTGAGTGAGCCACTGGGCCGCTCGATCTCTTGTGCCTACTTCCCACTCTGTGTGAACATCAAGGATTGCTGACACCTCAACACTGGTAAGTGAACATGATTCAGAGAGTGCAGAGGGACAATGTTCAACATTACAGGTGTTTGCACTCAGCCTGAACACTTCTTGAATGGTGTTATCATGGACTTGCTCGGCCTCCTCAAGTAGCGCACTATACGGCTCTGACATCATCCTCTGACTGACACAATCACGGATGAAGGGTTGCCTACTCAAAGCATCTGCGACCACATTTCTACTGCCGGGTATGTATTGGATGCTGAAACTATAGGGGGCTAGCTTAGACACCCACCTCTGCTCACACGCATCAAGCTTTGGCTTTGTCATGATGTATGTTAAGGTATTGTTATCCTCCAGACAGTAAAGTCATGTCCCTTCAACCAGTGACTGAACTTGTCGCAGACGGACCACTTCAGGGCCAAAAACTCAAGACGATGAGCAGGATATTTAGCTTGTGCACGAGTGAGAGCTTTACTGGCAAAGGCAATAGGACGTGCCTTAAATTC